TGAAAATATCCGCCTTGCGAAAACTCTTGCATGTTTTTGACGCCAGCTCCCCAACTATATGTTTATATAGGAAACTAGGGCTTATTTTCGACATAGAATATGCCATAAAAATTTGGTGCATTAATTTCAGAACACCCTGTATAAAAATCAGCCTCTGAATTCATTAAAATTCCTTATTTGATGTTTTATGACAGCTCGGATTGCTAAAGTACTCTTTACCATACACATCGCTTTGCTTACAATAGGACCATAAGTATAACTAGAAAAATCAAACAAAACTTCTCTTTGTTGTATACGTGCCTCGCCTAAAGTGCACATACCTATACATTGACAGACTTTACAATGGACCATTCTGTTTTTATTAATTTTTCACCACAAACAAAATTCCAAACCATTAACTAGTAGTGCACGTTTCATAAATAAAATCTCAAGGCACAATAGAGCTATCAATGTTCTGGTTCATAAAGAGCAAAATAATTGAACATGATTTTACACAAGACCAACGAGCACTTAAAACAAATAGCCAGAAATGCTTTAAAAGTATTCACAAATCACTGTTTGTGTATAGTGTTACCTATTTGAATTTATATAGTGTTTTTTTTTTTGGATGAAATGTTACTTTCCAAGACACGTCAATATTAACAATGACATCACGTTTCTAAAAACTTCAGAAAAATAATTCTGTTTCTATTACATTATTGTCTAATCTATAAAAATTTCTATTACTAATATCTTTCTTATCAATCTTCTGTTAAAGTTTGAGAAACCATGATTCAAATTAAGAAGAAAATACAAAATATATTTGACACACTAAGTACAAATGAACAGCCTAATTATTCTTAATTCTGCGCTGATCGACTTATCGTGGAAGTTAAGAAGTACTTATGCGCCCTGGTATATGTATGTATCACTCTCTATTTCATTTGAATATTGTTTTCTATTTCATTTTATTGGAATGTGGAGTGTTTCTTGTGGAGTAAAAACTATGGTCTCAACAACATTCATAAATTTTCAATTAATAACTGAACACAGATTAACTCGTCCTAATGTCTGGTTTATACTTCTGAATTAGGAATTAAACTTAATTGAGAATTAAACTAAATTAAAAATTTAAATGTTAAACGTCCATAATTTAATTCTGTCGTTTATACCTCAAATTAAAAAATTAAATTGAATTAAATTAAATTGAAAGTTGGCTAATTTTCAATTCTTAATTTTAGGCATAAACTGCATTTTTAAAGTTTAGTTTAATTTAATTTTCAATTTATTTCTTAGTTTAGTTTAATTCTTAATTTTGGAAGTATAAATCAGTCATAAAGATAGGAAACTTTCATGTAAAATGTTCGTTCGGAGCTGGGGTATGATTTTCAAAACCATTCGAGTACATTTCGTATACGATTTGATACAATTTCGAATACCCCCCATTTAATTTACATTGCTGTCAGTCAAATTTCGTATACGAAATGTACTCGAATGGTTTCGAAAATCGCACCCCTGTTTAAAAAATTACACGTATGAGAGTTTCATGCCAAAATGCTGCCAAAGCTATGCGGCGCTAGTACGGCAAAGCCATAAGCAAATGTCATCTGTGAAAGGATGTAACATGGATGTAATTTGTCATTGTCAATTGTATTTGCCATTAGTCGTTTTGTGCATTAGTCAGCCGTTTGATGTGTGTTAGTGTTCTTCTTATTCTATGGCGTTTTTTATTTGATTTTCTATTAATTTGTGGTAAAACTTTGACTTCTTACTATGTTTTTAACCAAAGAGACTTTTTGTTACATGTAAACATTGTGGAAATGGTACAATGCCTACAAGCACGAAACTTGGTTTGGTTTGGTTTTCTTAGCTTTTCCTAGCGATGCTGATGAGACCTGATAGGTCGAATCGCGTCTATGGATGGAAAAGCAGAGAAAATCAAGCCAAAATTTTCTCTATTGTGGAAATGGTTTTAGTAATGGTATTTACCTTGCGTTCGGTATTTTGCTCGAAGAGCAGAGCGTGCAGAGCGGAGCCGTAATCACGTGACCAGCGAGCGAACAGAGCAGTTGAACGCTGTATAAAAGTGCCAGAAATTTTAATAAACGAACGCGAATGAGGATACACCGAGTACACTTTTTGAATAAACGAACGGTAAAGTCAAGCTCGGAGAACTCAGACCAAAATAACGAACGCACGGTTATTTGCAATTTTTGATAAAGTCATTTGTGCACTAGACCCTACAACTTTTTAGGTTTTTTTTTTTTTAGGTTTTCTGTTGTTGTGTTATAGGTAGGCTGCTCTGTTAAAGAAGGAGATAGTACTGAAATGTTGTTTTAATTCCAAAAAATAGGGTTTAATATTGAAATGAAATTGATTAGACAAATTATTTGGAAGAAGGCGGGAACATGCAGGAATCACGTGACTACTGCCGCAATACTGGACACACCAAAGTGCACACTAGCGCCACCATGCTGTGGCAGTCATGCAACTCACTGCATGAGCAAGATAAGAATAGGGAAGAAAGCCTGAGTTTCCTATCTTTAGAACGGGTTAATCGCTCTAAGGGTTAATCTGTGCAACTGAAGTACATTAAGGCCCAGTTGTACAATCCAGGCTCAAACAGAGGTTTAGTTGAACTCTACTGGTACTTGAACCTTCTCATTTGAAATGCATTGCTGTCAAAAAATGTACAGTTTGTCATGTTTCTGACAGCAATGTATTTCAAATGGGAAGGTTCAAGTACCAGTAAAGTTCAACTGAACCTCTGTTTGAACCTGGATTGTACAACTGGGCCTTAGTTGGGTTAAGTTGGGTTAAATTGTACAATAAACAGGCAGCTAGGCAACACGACGCCAACTAATCATAGAATAACTAATAACAAGACAAGCAATAATAATAACAATAAAATTGTCACCTGACATATCAATGACACATATAGATATAAACAATTAACTAAAGGCTTAATCAGAATAAATATTTCGAACTTCCATTTCCAACACCCCCACTTAGGTCGAAATATTATTTCCAGAAGAAATTCTGAATGCTTCGCAGAGCATAAACTTTTAGTTAAAATATCAGCAGGCATCTAAGTTGTTCGCAAATACTTTATTGACACAAAAGCATCAGCAACAGCCTCTCTTACAAAATGATGTCTTACGTCAATGTGTTTTGACCTTTTGTTGAAAACTGCAAATCCAATTTTCAACAAAAGGTCAAGACAACTTGATTGCACTCTTATTGTCGTTAAATATAGTTATAGGTACAGGGTGCTGCAATTTGGAGTGTTTCAACAGGAAAAACATACTTCCAGACCAGATAGAGGAAAATTGACCTAGACGTCATGGGATCGATTTTCGAGAAACGTCGATTGTCAAAAACCGTATCACGATATCTTCAATGGTACCATTGATACAGGGCGATTTTATGAGTTTAGTGCAATTTATGTTGTATGATCTCCCTGAATTTAACGATGATAATGATGTAAATACCTAATGACACAGAATTAGATACAGGGCATGAATCAGAACTTTCTAAAAAAAGTGTTCTTCACATTTACGCTGCAAACAATGTTTGGTTTTGACAGTTTTGTATAAGTAAAAAGATAGATTTTAAATCCGTGCTTACAGAGATCTTCCAGTATGTCCTCACTTCAGCGTGCACACAAGTAGGGTGCGAAAAATGTTTTTCAATTTTCAACATTTTTATGCATAAGAAATCGATCAAGGAATCGACTTACAATGGAAAATTTGAATGCGTTGATGATAATGAACTTAAATATTAAAATATTATTTGATCACATCTAGGGGTGATGATGTATGGGCCGCTAGACTGACGGCATCAGCTGTATGGCTATACCAGAGTGTTCTATGGCCATTATCATTGGGGCATACTTTTCAGGAAGCCCTGCCAATAATAATGAGCCAATCCAGACTTCATCTATGCTGAAACCTGTCCCTCGTAGCTTTTGATCCGTTTCCACAATGATATTCACATAGGATTGCATGGATTCACAATTTTCTAGCCTGGCACTAATTAGGATTCATAACAAACCAATCTTTCGAGCAAAACCCAAATCGTCATAAAGGGATTTTGTCCCATAATTGTTTGGTTGATCGTGTGTCTTTGATATGAACGAAAATCGATAAGTCTATCGTTAATACCAATTTTGCTCTAGCTTTACCATCTTTATTATCTGTGTCATTGGTTGCTGCGGTCACTTCATTTTCAATATGATTCAATATCAATATCAAAAAATTCTTTGCAGCAAATGCCCATTCTCCATAGTTATCACGACCTTTCAGTTTCGGAATATTCGCAATAAAATTTGAGTGCCATTTTTTGCACTTCTGGAAATCTTGCTCAAAACACGATCCAAGACCACGCCACACAGTTATTTTACTTCACTGAACGTAACTGGGCCCATAACCTATTGGAATGTGCAGTGTTTCTTGTGAAGTAAAAACTATGGTCTCAACAACATTCATTATAATTTTTAATTAACAACTGAAGTACAATAAACCGGCAGCTAGGGAACACGACGCCAATTAATCATAGAATAACTAATAACAAGACAAAGCAATAATAATAACAATGAAATTGTCACCTGACATATCAATGACACTAAAGGTTTGATCAGAATAAATATTTCGAACTTCCATTTCCAACACATTTCGAATAATATTTGTTTCTGAGTCGTTTTTTGAAGTTTGCTCACTTAAAGGTCTGTTCTCACAGAAATCACAAACCAGTCAGAGCATTTTTGATTGGTGCAAATCGACAACAACAAGTTTTCTAACTATTTCCAACCAATGAAATTCGCTTTGACTGGTTTATGAAGAACAGACCTATAAAAGTTCCTCTATAAAACAAGTTTGAGAGATGATGTCTATAACTTGATCTTAAATGAATCCACCCCATTGTTATAGGGTGTATACAATACAACTTGTAACAAAAATCCCTCGTATAATTGTCGCTCCCTATACGAAATCCGGAGATTCCCGTTTCGTATTGTTGAATGACTCAGGTGAGAGTGACGGTCGCGGAATCTACAACACACAAAATCGAAACCGAAACAGTCGGCGCGCGACATTCGAGCGATTCGCAGTTCGAGCCCCGGAAAAGACGCTTGCGTATCTCTCTGGGTGCTCGATTTTATATCGTAATAACGATCCGCGATTCTCGAGAATTTAGATTTGCACAAAAACAGGTGAGAACCTGCATAAAAATTGACAAAATCTAATGGCAAACGAAGTTGTAGTGGTTCCTCTTAGGAAAGTTGTTTTTGACGTTGTTTTGATACAATTAGGTAAGCAAGATGTCATAATAGAATATATAGTAATTTTTTAAAAAGTTTTATGAATGAACCAAAGTAGGTATAGTTTGTTTAACTATTGACATTGAACTTACTTCCAATTTTACAGGTAGGTACAATAATTTATTTGCAACCACTTTATAGCCATATGACGATAATTAATTGATAATTTTTTCTCTATATTAATTGAAAGATGTTTTGCGTCATATATTTATTGATTTTGGTCGCAATTAATGGAAATTAATCAACTTATAATTCCATTACTGTTTTTAATTTATTCATATAAGCGCGCGCTATTAAAGTGTCCCAGGTCGTGATGAAATCAAAACTACCAGATCAAGTTCGTTTTACGATATTTTCGCGTTTTGTTTGAAGGCTCAGCAACAATGTAACGGTTGTAAAGGAGCAAATGACATCACCACACAATAATAATTAACCAGTATTTATATAATAAGTACAGGTAACTGTATACATTAACTATTTCAGTGGTTCTTGTAATGGCATTGCAAGCTTGAGGTTTGATTAAAATAAGAAAAGCTGCAAGCTAAATTTGTTTAGAAATAATTTTACCAAACAAAGGTCATAGAGAAAATGTTATACGTGATACATTTACTTCAATGCATATAATACTCTCAAGTATTTCAACGTCATAAGTACATTGATGTAAAATGCAAAATTGTATCTACAACCGTATTCTTTACAAAAAGTAAATTATAATTACAATATTTATTTTCATTAAATTTTTTGAACTTTGTATGTATGTACATAACACCAAGTTGATATATGTATTATGGGATTTACCACACATGTAATGTTCTAATGGTGTCACATCTTATCTATATGACCGTATATTAGGAGAGTAGGTATCTAAAATAATTTGATTACCTTGAAATTTTGACTTTGGTTTTTGGCCCAATTCTGAAAATGACGAAAATCGAAACTTCAACCGCCCATAACTCCGTAACGGTAAGTCGTAGAGAAAAACTCTCCAGGAACAGATTGTAGAACTCGTCGAGATCTACAAAAAAGCTCATCGAGTCTTACTTCTACGACTTACGATTTCCGAGATATTTTACTTGGAAGTTTTAGAGTTTTTAGGTAGTTTGGGTTAGTTCAAATTCAAAATTTCCTACATGATAGAGTAGGTCTATAGAAATGTCGAAACCCACCTTTCCTCCCTAATTTTCCGCTGTTCCAGGAGTTTCCGGTCCGTTTTTCACCCCATTAAATGGAAAATCGAAATTTTCCGAACATTGAAAAAACAAAAATTCCACTGTATAGAGGAGGTCAATACAAGCAGAAAAACTACTTGACATTTTCCCATAGGAAGTCTCTTAAGCCCGGAAAAAAAGAAAAAAAGAAAATTAATATAGGGATGGAGGCTTTTCCAGCTTAATATAGTTTTATTAAATGGGCCATAACTCTGGCACGCCTGGACCGATTTCAATGAATCATATTTCATTCAAAAGAAGATTAAATTGGCTACAAACTTACTTAATTTTATATCAATTATTACTATCACCATTCCAAAGTTATAAAGTTTCAAAGTTGAAATTTACCTTTCAAAGTTCGGAGCAAATTCTTTAACATTTTTAACTTGTAAGGGCCATAAGTACCCTGAAACTCTACCGAGGACACAATGGTAATACATGAAGTAGGTATTGATCACCTGTCAAGAGATGAATGTAGTAGTCGATCGCAAACAATTTGAAAAACAATAAACAATTATTAAAATAACAAAATCAAGTCAAGACCCTTCGAAGCTGGAAAACTATTGAAGCTGATTGAAATTACTATGAAAGATTTACAGAGGATTTAGAAGATTGAAATTTAGAAAAAAAACAGAAACTTCTACAAAAACAAGAAACAACAAAAGCAAGATAAAAAATATATTGACAGATTATTCCGTAACATTCGATAAGTCAGAGGAAAAAAAAAAACGGAGAAGGAATCAAAGACGAAATAAGGCTTGAGAGAAGAATCCAAGAAAGAACAATAAAAGAAATAGGAGGAATTAATTTGGAATAAAACTAACAAAGACAGTGCAAAGAAGCCCAAAAATTTTCAGAAGTGTCTATAATTCTCAGTTCTATGCAAACTTCGTTTAGGTTTCTCCTAAATATTTAAACTACAGCTTGTCAAACATACCTCGAAACGTGAAAAAGAGACGATTTTCTATATACAGATGGTAATATATAGTACAACGTTTTGGTTTTCTTTGCTTTTCCTAGCCATACTGATGAGACCTGATAGGTCGAAACGCGTCTATGGATGGAAAAGCATGGAAAATCAAACCAAATATTTTCTCATCGATGGTAATATAGGTATATTTGACAAGTTAAGTATACCTAATATACCATTCATTTAAAACATTGATAAATAATTTTATTATCATATCACCCAATATATAATCTCGTTGTACAAAATTTATCGAGCATGACATTATTTGTCTTTTATTCCAGTGGGGTGGCCTATATTGTTCCTGTTCCTCTGGGCCAAACCTTTTCACAGGGGATTCTTTTGCGAAGATGACAGCATACGACATCCCTTTCACGAATCCACCGTGCCGAGCTGGTCTTTGTATATCACGGGTTTTGGGTTGAACATCATCACTGTAAGTAATTTATTGTAATTTTCAGTGTAACAACAAAAACTTGTTTAATTAAATAATTTAAAATGCATATTGATTAAATTATACAAAACTTCGTAAGTTTTGGATTAAAAGTAAAGCTGCTTCAAGGTGAGAATCCAATACAGATCAGATAATGAATTGAAGAAATTAATATGCTGAAGTAAAAAACCAATTTATTTTGGTTTCAGTGCAACTACTATTAGGAAAGGTTCAACGATCAGCGGATACTATCTTTAGAAATGAATAACTAACTTGCCTATCATCCAAGGTGACTCATTATTTTCGCTGTTTTTTTTTTTTTTGAAAATACATAATTGGTCGATAAATAATTATAAATTATTCTGACGTATATAGAGATAATGTCATTGCTAATATTGTTTTTATCAAACATTACAAGGTGAGCTACAAGTTTAACTTGGTATGGTTGGAACTGTTGGAAGTAGGTATACAGAAAATAATAGAGATCTGTATAAATTTTAATAGACTAAATATAATTCTTTTTTGAAAGTGATTTTTAAAAGTCCAAACTATTTCCAATGTGAATTTTAAATCCTTTGAGCCCCTATAGAATAATTTTTACTATACTTACCCTATCTACTTTTTCAAAAGATGATCTTGAATTGGTACTTACCGAGCCCTTTGGGCACAGGGGTCCTAGAACAATAAGTTTATATGCTAAATAAATTTCTCAAAGAACTGATAATGTGTTCAAATAGCTCTAAGAATTAAAACTTCATAAGTTTTAATCTAAAATAGTCAATTTATAACAAAAAATGAGAAAAATAATGATGATTGAATTATCATCGTTTTTCTTTTAAACCACCCTCAAAGTAATTTGCTTGCAAATCAAGTGAGGTTCACCAAACGATGTATTTTGATACTACCTATAATTTCATAAATTTCTGTAATTCAAAGCAGTGTTGCCAGGTCTACTGATTTATAAGTAGATCTACTGATTTGGCCACTGGTCTACTGATATACTGATATCGATGTAAATTCTACTGATAAAAGCCGTTGTCATTATCTACCTGCTTTTTATGATATTTTTTAAATTGAAACTTTGTAAGAAAATGTCACAGCAATAATTTTATACGCGACCTTTGGGCTAGAATTTCTAGGAGTATCCTCTGAACGACGCGTCTGCCCGATTACTCCGATCAGTCTGATGTGATTTGTATTGAAACAATCGAGCCCTCGCAGTGCAGGCGCTAGGTATGTACAAATTGGAAAAAAGCTGAAAATATTCAACATTTCACATTTCTGACATTGAATTTTTATTTTTGATCATGGATTGTAAAAATTTAACCAATACTGTACAACTTTCATATTTACACCTTTCATCTACCTGTAAAGGTAAAGGCTGGTGGGGTGTCAATATATAAAAAAACCATTGAAAAAAAAACACTTTGTACTTGAACAATAACTTATTATATAAAGTTAGAATTTGTAAGATTATCCACTTTTTGTCAATTCACCTTTCAACAGGAATTAGTAATGTTACTTCATTAAACTAGTAATATATTGTGACAAGTTATTCAAGTACAAACGAGTGGATTGTTGCGGAACTTATGAGTGGACCTCTGCGGGACGAGCGCAGCGAGTTCCGCAGCCATCTATTCATCAATATGTTGTTTAATTATGATACTTAACCTGACTCACTCAAATGTGAGTTATTCTCATTAGTTTAAAAACTACATGGTTCAGGTTAATGTCTTACTTAAATAGTTCAGCAGTATATTGCTGCGTAGATGGCTGCGGAACTCGCTGCGCTCGTCCCGCAGAGGTCCACCCATAAGTTCAGCAACAATCCACTTATTTGTACTTGAACAATAACTTATATAAAATCAAAATTCGTAAGATTATGATTATTCACATTTTATAAATTCGCCTTTCAACAGGAATTAGTTATGTTACTTTACCAAACTAGTAATATATTGTGACAAGTTATTTAAATACAAGTCAGTGTCAGTGAATTGTTGCGAAACTTATGGGTGGACCTCTGCGGGACGAGCGCAGCGAGTTCCGCAGCCATCTATTCATCAATATGTTGTTTAATTACGATAATAACTTGACTCACTCAAATGTGAGTTATTCTCATTACTTTGAAAACTACATGTTTCAGGTGAATGTTTTACTTAAACAGTTCAGCAGTATATTGGTGACTAGATGACTACTTTCTATTCACGGATCACATTTAGAACCAATTTGGAACTAGTTTAGAATTCAAAGACTTTAAACACAAAACTTATGATGATTTCAATATCCGTAGAACTTGTTTAGATCTGATCCAGAAACCGAATCTAGAACTGGAACAGAAAATTCATCAGAATTTAATGAATCTCGAAAGATATAATTCAAATTGTGGATCCGAACTCTTCCGAATCAGTTCTGAATCGAATAGCTAACGAAGTTTTATTCACGGATCACATTTAGAACCAGTTCAGAATAATTGTCGTAGACTTTAAAAATGAAACCTATGATTCTTTTAATAACCGTAGAACTTGTTCAGATCTGATCCGGAAACCGATTCTAGAACTGGAACAGAAAACTCATCAGAATTCAATGATTTTCGAAAGATTTAATTAAAATTGTGGATCCAAACTGTTCCGAATCAGTTCTGAATCGAATAGCTAACGAAGTTATATTCATGAATCACATTTAGAACAAATTTGAAACTAGCTTACAAAAATTGTCGTAAACTTCAAAAATGAAACTTATAATTCTTTCAATATCCGTAGAACCTGTTCAGATCTGATCTGGTAACCGATTCTAGAACAGAAAACTCAGAATTCAAAGTTTCAAGTCTATCTGATACTCTGGAGTATTTTTTAGGATTTTTCAAAGGTGATTTAACATGAATTTTCCAATTTTTTCTGGTATTAAGTTGGAAAAAACCTCATAATTTTATTTCTGAGCTTCAGATTGACTTCAAATTTGCCTTGCTTGATGAAAACATCCTGGTTAATAAATCCTGGAAGTTTGAAATCGATCTGATACTCCAAAATATTTTTCAGGATTTTTCATGACAAATTTGTTTCATTTCTCTGATAGATTTTGATTTGGTGGTTGTGAATGCCGTCTATTTTTTGGTTTAGTTGCTTCCACACGGAATTGTGACCACTCAAAGTGTTGTAAATTTCTGTAATGACAGGAAGAAGGTCATTGTTTTTTTTTTAAACAGGCTCCGAGAGCTTCGACATTTTTCATAAAAATCTGGAAATTATGTAGATTTTCTAGTTGAAATTATCATGATGTCAGACTTGGACTTGTTTTATCGGTTTTGTAAAGTCAAAATTACGCACGTTTATGTGTAAAACTGAACTTATATTACAGATTCGAATGTTGTTTCTATTCCAGGCTCTTGAATTTTCTTTATTCGGAGAAATTTAGGAAAGATTCAAGAGCCGGGAATAGATAAAAATTGAGCCAAGAAAACTGACGATATCACACGCCTTCCGAACACGTTTCAGTTAAGGAAGTAGGTATATTTTCCTGCCTAGACCAGAAGGTGAAATACGTCTGGAAAGTATGTACTTTTTGAACTATTGTCGAAAAAATAGTGTACCTATTTGGTGTTAATTTGGGAATTGAAGCACATTGAAGCACGTTTGCACCAAGTGACATTTCTCCATGTCGAAATGTCATTTTAGGGAATACCTATGGTTAAGACTTCCTTATAACGGTTGATGTAGATGGCCAATATGTACTTCTTTTCTATATCGATACTAGTATAAGAAAATATCGATATTTTTAAAGCTGTGTCTAGAATCCCGGTACCGGTAACATATTTTTTACCGGTAGTTTTAATGCTACCGGGGATTCAAGCAAATCCCGGTAAAAAATGTAGTCGTTGGCGGTTTCTGTTTTATCAAAGTCCAACTTAACCTAATTTTTTATGTTTTTAACCTGTTTTGTTGACGTGTGAACGTAAAGTGGAGTGTTTTCGTGAGTTTATTAACGTGAAATTACTTATTTTAACATGATTTTTACTGTAGGACAAACATTTAAAAGTTATAAAGAAGTTGAAAAGACTTTGCCAGTTTGTGTAAAATACCCAAAATGTGGTATTAATGTTCTGATTGCAAACTTATAAATAGAAAATGAAAGATATTTATTTTAATTTACATTCTGAACAGTATAGTTATATACAGAGTGTTCCACGAGGTTTTTCCCAAATGATAACTCCAGAACGCATCCTCGTATGTTCCACCGTATAATTTTTTTACCATTTTCTTTAACAAAGCCTTAACAAATATAACATCGCCGATTTTTTAATTTAATTTTCTAACGAAAAATGGCATAATATACCATGAGTTACATTTAAGATTTGAAAGTTGACGTCACTTGATCTTAATTGAAGCGAAAGTGGTGAAATTGGATGACATTGGTAAAAGCGGCACAAAAATTTACCCAGATCCTCAAAATTTCAATTATATTGGATCACGCGTTCCGAAGTTATCACCTGGGATAAACGTCGTGGGACACCCTGTATATTGACTTGAAGTAAATTAAATATTAAATTCGATTATAAACTGCTGTATTATAAAATGACATTATTTTAAATTTGTTTAAATTCTCAGGAATCTCAGGGGTTTTCGGAAATATATAACAACCTCAGATAACAACCCTAGTTTACTATCATCTGATTGCAGATTACTGGTCACTGGTACGCAAATCATTTATATAAGGTATTTCGAACCTAAACTAACTTATAGTTTGAAATGTTTCAAAAAAGTGACGAAAACATATGATAAACTAACCTAAAATACCAATTAGGCAATTCAAACCACGTGACATTTAAGATGGCGTGGCGGCCACACATGGACCGAAAAACACAAAAAAATATCTAGTTTGGCCGACTTACTATTTTATGTACCTAGTAAACAAATATTTTATTGAATAATCAAAATCATGGCTGCAAGCAAAACTCGAAGTAAAATAATGAAAGTATACATGAATACACATATTCAAAACAAACTTGC